TTCCCCGCTCAGGAGGAGTTAAAAACCAGCAAACTGGGACTCAAAGGCACGGAAACCAGCCTGACAGTTCCTCCTCCCCAAATACAGGAAGAGGGCTGCCCGATAACAGGACATTTGTCTCTCCAAAAACCTTCCGAGTGGACAAGGTAAATTGGAGACCACAACAAATCTTTCATCTCACCTCTGGCAGACCTCTCGCCTGAGCCAAGTCTTGAAATAAAGATGGAAGAGGGCTACTCCATATAGCAAGGGGGAACCTGGAACTAACCACAGCTTCCAGCTCGCTGGCAGCTCAACCCCTCAGCAGGTTGCACTTCCACGCAGGAGTGGATCATCCCTTCTACGCTACAAGAGCCAAACACACAGGCACAAAGCCCAACGCGTTCCCATCCACACGTTCCTTGCCCACAGCACTTGACACACATAACCGAGACCCCTCCTTGCTCCAGAGCTGGCTGCTGTAAGGCAGTGCCTGCCATGCACGTGTCCCTGTGCCCAGCTTCTACGTTCGCCATACACCGCTGTGACCCCACCACCCCCTGGGAGCTCTGCGCAGAGCTTGCAGTGACCACGGGAGAAAAATAACAAAATCAGCTCTGTCTCCAGGTCAGCGTGGGGGGAGATACAGGATATGAATCCCTCCCTTCTGGATTCCACCAATGCTAGGAAGAAATACTGACATTCACAAGCCATGACTCACGCCTGCCTTGTCTGCCACTCCAGAAGTCCCACTCACTGGCTGGCATGCCAGAAATACCAGCATGGCATCAGCCAGATGGCTCTGTTAGCATATAAATTTGACAAAACCATTCTTCCCCCTTATTTTCTTTATTGTTGGAGTGTGGTGGTCACTGAGGATCAGAGCACTCCCTGAAAACACGACGACGCAGCCTGTTGCTCTGGCAGATAACAAGTCAGCAAGGCTCAAAACATGATCCACTTCACCCAAGACAGAAACCTCTCCCCCAGAAATTCCTACCTCAAACCACTCTTGGTCCCAGTTTTAACGGGATCTTAACTGAGCCAAAGGATCCGTTGTTCGTACTCCAGCTATGCTGGTAAGTCATACACTTGTATTTAACGAGCTGCCAAGGATGCCTCCGTTAACCTCCACAGAGCATAATTCCTGACTGCCCCTCCTTCTCCCACTAGACCAGCATT